GATGAAGCAAAAGGGTGTTGAGCGTGCTCTTGATCAGAGCAAGCCGACCTCCAAAAGAGAGTTACTGTGAGACCAGCCGAAGATCCATTCAATCATCCTCTGCCTGACGTCAGTAAAGAGCTCAAGTGAGAGGTGGCCCTTGTACACAGGGGCACAAAGATAGATAATGGGGAGGTCGTCCCGTGCAAAATCAATGCGCTCGTGGACCCAATGGGCCCAGTGGTAGGCAATTTGATGGTCAATGGTGAAGGTGCTTTTTTGCACACTGACCAGCTGACCAGATACCGAGCTATAATGCCCCAAGAGGCGCATAAGCTCAGTCGATCCATTATTATCCGCGCGACTGAAGGTAATAATGTCATCCGCATAAGAGAGATGCGATATGGGAAGACCATTGCCACGCGTGCAATAGGTCATCCTCGGGAAGTCGCAGATGAAGTCGTCAAGGCAACGAGACAGATAGCCCACCCCAGAACAAAAGGAGAGGGGGATAAGGGATCACCCTGCCGAAGGCCATGGGTGGAAGGAAAGACGTCAGTGGGGCTACCGTTAACTAGAACCGAGAACATGCAGTGCTCCATGCACGCCTCCACAAAACTAATCCAACACTCAGGAAAACCTATCCGAGACAGAACCTCCTGAGAAACGACCACTCGGCCATATCATATGCCTTAGCCATGTCAAGGTTCAGCACAAGGCTCGTAACCGGTTCGCATGGGAGATGTCATGGATCATCTCCTGAGAGAAAATAATGTAATCACTGATCACTCGATCCTTGATGAAACCACTCTAGTTCGGAGATATGATGGAAGGGAGGAGAGGGGTTAGGCGACCATTAAGGATCTTTGAGATGATCTTGTTGGTCACATTAGAAAGGCTGATAGGTCTATAGTGGGACCAGGAACTCGGCTCAGGTCTCTTAGGAATCAAACCACAAAGGTCGTTGTGATAGACTCCGGCATCTGGTGACCCGAGAAGAAGTCTACCACAACTTCCTCAACGTCAGTCTCAACAACCTCCCAGCAGATCTAAAGAAAGACGAATAACCATCCAGGCCAAAAACGTTGTTGGGATCAATCCCAAAAACAACATCCCTGATTTACTCCTTACTAGGGAGGTCGCATAGGTCAACGGGGTCGACCGTCTGCGGGATAATGGGGAAAAAGAAAGCATTGGGGGCGTAGAAAAGTTGCGATCCGAGGTGAAGAGGGACTGGAAGTGTGCCACAGTTGACTCCCGTATCTGGGACTCATGTGTCAGGGAAGACCTATTATCCTCGATACAATGGATGTACAACATAACCCATTTCTGCCTCACAAACCCCTGAAAGTACTTGGTATTACGTTTTCCCTCAGCAACCCAGCGAACGGAGCTGGTACTCAGCATGGTAGGGGCGCATCGCGGACCTATTATCTGGAGACGTGTCCAGATCATATGCTTGCTCAGCCTCCGAATACGCACTTTGAGCTGCAGCAAGACGCTAAGAGATATCTCCAAAAGTCATCTAATTCCATTGCTTTAAAACGCGCCTAAGTCTACTGGGTTTCGCCTCTAGGTTACGCATGCCGAAAAGCCCCGTCGGATGGTGTCAAGAGGTCCTAACCATGTCATGGAACGTGTGGTGGCAGATCCACATCTTCTGAAATCGAAAGGAGGAGCGGCGGGGTTCTTGAAAACTGACACCTGATAAGAAGGGGAGCATGGTCAGATTCAGTTCGAGGGAGGTGTATGATGGTCGTGACCGCAAACACCCTCGTCCATGCCTCAGAGATCAAGGCACGGTCGAGCCTCTCCTTAACTTCGGCCCTCTCCCACGTGATGGGTGAACCTTCGTATCCAGCATCAATTAACTCACAGTCCGCCACTGTCTGAGAGAAATCTAAGATCTCCACAGAGCGGTCTGAATGGCCACCAGTGCGCTCATCGGGTTGAAGAAAAAAGTTTAAATCGCCGCCAATTATCCACGGTGATCCCTCCATGCTCTCACAATCTCACACATGGTGTCCCACAGATCATAGCGACCAGCCCTCGCATAACTGACATAAAACAGGGGGTGGAAAATTGGTTCGGGGAGATGGCCGGCAGAGAGCTCGACACGCAGAACCTGTTCTGTGTTATGGATGATCCGAAAGGTAAAGTCATGCGAGTGGAAGAACCAAATCTTGTTGGAGATGTTTCCCACACCATAGTGGAAACCAAGGAGACGAGAGTATACCTCAAAAGAAGGGTTATGGGCCATGGGCTCCAAGAAAGCAGCAAATTCTAAACTATGATCACGAACGAAGATCGAACGTGAGCAAGAGTAGCCCTATTAGCCAGGCCACAGGCATTCCAGGTTAGTGATGTGACTGACATATCAAATGTCAGGGTAACCACCTGACTGGGTCTGCTCGTGGCTAGGCTGAGTCTGTCTATCTAAGAGGGGGAAGGCTCGGTTGACCGAGCGCCGAGCGATCCTAGATCTAGTCTGCGGTCGGTGGTGGTCTGGACTCGCAAAGAGGATATCATCTAAAGATCTGGTCCGAGGGTGGTCTGGGCTCTCAGGGGGTGTATGCTCCAGAGGGGTCAGCTGGGGGTCTCTCAGACCCGCAACGAGTAGGGTCTGGTCATGGGTAGGTGTAGGTCCCGACTCCTTGGGGGAGGGGGAAGAAGGTTGGCAGGCAGAGCCGAGAGGGCCCCGACTGGGGGCAGGGAGGTGGCACTGGTTGTGAGCACAACCAAATGCTCACTCTCGGGGGAAGGGGCAGGGGGAACTGTACTCCAGCTAAGGGGTGGACGTGGGAGGAAAACTCGAGTCCTGCAGGTCCTCCATAGATATGAAAGGGTCGCTGGGCATCACAGGGGCGCAGGAGCTGGAGGCGAGTGTGGGGAACTTAATGGTACTCGCTAAGGAGACGGACGGTCCTGCCTCGTCATCCAAAAGGTCGTCACCGTCAAGAAAGGAACTGAGTGTATCTCCTTGTGGGCCAGAAGAGGATGCAAGCTCATCCTCCGCCTCTGAAGAAAGGACAGAGAAACGGGAATGAATAGCCAAAGGAGGCGTCTGAAGAGCCTGGTGAGGAAAAGGCCCAGTGGCTTTAGATTTAGGACCGTCCAAAACCACCACCTTGGGACGGATAGATTGACGAGCTTTCCCGACCTGAGAGATAGACTCAATAACGGTCTTACCCTTGTCCTTTTGTCCCTTTGGGGACTCAAGTGTACGGGCGGGGGCCTTAACCTTCCCCTTTAGGTCCCCCTAGTTTGATGGGGGGGCCGGTCTAACCACGCAGTGGCGTGGGAGAAGTGACGGCCGATGACAAAACATGAGAGAAAAATATTGTTAGGCTTTTTATTCAAACGATATAAATCTCATATCACAAAATAAAAGAAACATCAGAGGACTCACTAGTCCTTACAAAACCAATGGAGAACCACTCCTTCCAGGAGGCCTAGACCAAACACCAACAAAGCACTAAAGGCATAGACAAAGCTATGAGACCTACAACACCACCAAAACTAAACCAACAAAAACAAAAAACTAACACGAAGCACCCCCAACAGAGGTAATGAAACGACCCCAACGAAGTAATGAACCAACCCCCAACGGAGTAATGAGATACTGAGGCCAACCGGCCCAAACAAAAAATACAAACTTAAACAACACAAACACTGACAACAAACACAAAACCTAATACAGAAGAGAAAACACAAAACAAAAAATAGATAAATAATGCCCTTCCACAGCAATTAGCCGGTCCTAACCAGCGGAGAACAGTCGAATCAAAGCCTAGTCCAAGTCCAGGGGACGACTCCCGAAACTGTCACAAGGCCTATACAAAGAGTCGAGCCCCGACACCAACAAACCTCCGATACAACCCGCCTCAACTGGAGAAACATCGAACCACTCCCACTCTACCACTGCCCAAATACGCCTAACACCACTAGCCGAGCTAAGGAGCATCAGAATTACGCCGTCTAACACCACTAGTCGGAACAGGGGGGTTGGTTTGAGCCCTCAGCTCCGACTCACCATCCGAGCCTCGCCCCACCTCACGACCCACAGACCCACTAGCATCTCCTTATAAACACCGGCACCCGTCGAGAAGATCCCGAACGGAGCTTCGCCGGAAAAAGTCCAACCGCCCAAGCCTTTCGATCGCACTCAGAGGCAGAGGGAGGAACAAAGCAAAAATTGGAGGAGGGCTCACCTACAATTGAGACCATCTTGCTAAACGACGCACAAATTGCCGTCTGATTGACGAGTGAAAAACCACGCCTCCTTCAATCGTTGCAGCTCCGACGAAACAAAGGTGCGCAGATCTATCATCGTAAGCACAACACGTCAATACCAGAGGTCCGGCGCCTCGAAGGAGGGACGGCGGTCGAGCGTGACCACCGGCCGGTGCCGCACTGCCGCCGAGGAAGGCGACGTGATGAAGTTAATTTAGAGAGGATCTAGGTTTTTGGATTTTGTAGAGAGTAGCTAGGTTTAATGTTTGTATTTTGTGCGTAGTTTTAATAGAAAATAGGTACCCAGGCGATTCATGTTCCGACAATGCGCCAAGAGACATATCTACGAATTTCATGAAAATAGTGAAAAGAGAAAAAGACGTTAAATAAGTGAAAATATCTTGTAAAAAAAAAGCTACAGTGCGCAACATATTTACACCGAATAGCCTTGTGTATTTTGAGCATTAATTTTTATATGAGATGGATAATTAGAAAATTCTTGTTCCCACATAAATAAAAGACATTGAGCTACAATTTATGAGAACATTCCAGAAATAGATGACTCCAGGTTCAAACCAACATATGATTAGACGAACAAGACGAACAACACATAGTGAAACTAATGACAACAATTTTTGAACATAAAACGATCAAGACTCCAGATGATCACCACTTCACTAGAGCTTACTGGGGAATAAAATGTAACACATAAAAAGAGAAGAACACACCAAAGACACACAAATCACGCTCATGATATTTTGGCTTGAATAAAAGAATGACTTTGCCTTTTATGTGAGAGTCGGCATGAGAACGTACGACAAGAATGAGTTCTTGTGGGGCCTATTGAACTGGGGTTTGTAGTTGCTCAAGTACTTTGTCCTGCAGAAGAGAGGTACGTAAAACCACATAAAAAATGTGCAAAAAGAGAGGTAAAACCATCCGTGTGCAGCATGAGAAATAACTATAAGGTTATAGTTGTGACAATTTGTTACCAATTTATATGTCATTATCAATAACAAAAGCACTAAAGGACATATTGAACAGGACATCAAACGAGTCAAGAGATCATCTTTCTCAATCACTTTCAATTCATCCTCTTTCATTTGTTCTAAAGTAGCTCAAATATGCTATATTGAAAAAGAACAACAAGAATTGGATATAGGGATGCAACGAGCAATGGTCCGGGTAGTTATGGACCTGGACCTGGCCGCACACCTGCCCCACAACCACGCCCTGGGCCCTTGACCACGGCTATCTCGCAGGTCGGTTCCACGACCTGGCCCGTTTAGGGGCAGTCCACTCCACCACGCCTGTCCCGACTCAGAGTAGTCAGAAACATAAATATACAAAGATATAAGCAAACAAAACTCAGATCCATAACTAATAACTACAATGCCCAACAGAAAAAGGAATACCTAATGAGATCTGCAGGCCAAAACAAATGACATGTCATAGTGGATATTTCACATATTAAATAATTCCACTATTCCATCACATTTCTTTCCAGAGCCTTATAATATTATCAAATTTTCAACATTAACTTCTACAAATCATACCCCATTATAATGTTGGGCTCAGATGCGCAATGCGGAAGATGTAAATTAAAATATCAAGGTAAAATGGTGACCAATAATCCCAATCCCAGCAACTCAAGAATGACAAAAGAAAAATCTCTTGCAATAAAACAGGAATAATTCTTTTCTGATGTGGAAGATCAGATTAAAATGCCACCACAGAGCATACTAAGAATATCCCAAATAAATAAAATATGCAAGAAATAAGACACCAAGATTTAAGGTGAAAAAACCTCCAAATAGAGGAAAAAAACCACGGGACAACCTCCGAACAATTCCACTATATTTTCAAGATAATTACAATATCTTTTCACACTCTCTTACACTAGAAATGTAAAATATAGTGACCCAGTGAGAACCCCACTCTTAAACAAAGAGTAATAGAGTTGATACCCAACCCGGTGTATTTTTCCCACACTCACAGGATTTACTGAAAACACTCTATTTTTATCTCACTGAAAAATAACACTCCAGAAATTATTTCTGCTCTCTTTTTCTTTCTTCTTCTCGGTGCATTTTCAGCTCTGCCCATTGCTCCCTATTTATAGGGAAATGAAGCTCCAAATGACAATTCACATTGTCAGACATAACAACTCATTTTTAATAAAAAATTCCTAATCAACTTTAGTTGTTAGAATCTTACAGCAATTTGTTTGTTGTTTTTCAAGGTTTGGCTGGACTTTCATGTGGCTAGTCCCCACAATTCTCCCTTTCCAGCCAAAGGGAAATATACTGCAGTTCTTTACTTGCATTCCATGCCGATCAACTCGGCACAAAGCTGAAGCTTTCCTCCTGTTACAACTTTTGTCATCATGTCAGCAGGGTTTTCATCAGTGTGAATCTTTTCCAACTTGAACTGTTGTTCTTCCACTACTTGACGTAGCCAATGATATCTGACATCAATGTGCTTCGTGCAAGAGTGGTACATCGCGTTCTTACTCAAATCCAATGCGCTCTGACTATCGCAATGGATATCGTACCTTTCCTGCTTCATTCTCAATTGTTGAAGAAACCTCTTCAACCAAAGCATTTCTTTGCCTGCTTCTGTCATTGCAATATACTCTACTTCAGTAGTCGACAAGGAAACAAATTTCTGCAATTTAGATTGCCAAGATACAGCTCCTCCTGCAAATGTAAACACAAACCCTGAAGTAGATTTTCTACTATCCAGGTCAACTGCCATATCCGCATTTGTATAACCTTCAAGAATTGGGTTTCCTTTTCCAAAGCTCAAGGACTTATTTGCACTGCTTTTTAGGTACCTCAAGATCCACTTCACAGCTTCCTAATGATCCTTCCCAGGATTGGAAAGATACCTGCTAACAACTCCAACCGCGTGAGCGATGTCTGGTCTTGTACAAACCATGGGATACATCAAATTCCCGACTGCTGAGGAGTATGGAACACCTGCCATAACTTCTTTTTCTTCTTGACACGTAGGACAACTTTGTTTGTTGAGTTTGAAGTGATTGGCCAACGGTGTATTGACCGGCTTAGCCGATTTCATGTTGAATCTCTCCAGAATCCGATTCACATACCGTTCTTGCGATAACCATAACTTCTTGGATTTTTGGTCTCGCATGATCTGCATGCCCAAAATTTGTTTCGCAGGGCCTAAATCCTTCACTTCAAAGGATTTTGCGAAATCCTTCTTCAGATCACCAATCAGCTTCATATCCTGCCCCACTATCAACATATCATCCACATATAGCAAAAGGATAATGAATATATCACCTGGAAATTTCTTAACGAACACACAATGATCTGCATCAGTCTTGGTATATCCATGGCTCACCATGAACGAGTCAAACTTCTTATACCACTGTCTAGGAGCTTGTTTCAGTCCATACAAGCTCGTCTTCAATCTGCAAACCATGTGCTCCTTTCCAGTCTTCTCAAATCCTTCTGGTTGCTCCATGTAGGTTTCTTCATCTAGGTCTCCATGAAGAAATGTAGTCTTCACATCTAGTTGTTCAAGCTCCAGATCCAAGCTAGCCACATTCCGAGTACTACTCGAATAGAGCTCATCTTTACAAACGGAGAGAATATCTCATCAAAATCTATTCCTCGCTTTTGTCCAAATCCTTTAACGACTAAGCGAGCCTTGTACTTCAACAGCTTGTCACCATCTTTCTTAAGCTTGAACACCCATTTATTTTTCAAAGCTTTCTGGCCTTCCAGAAGCTTCACAAGCTCATAATTTTCATTTTTCATCAGTGAATCCATTTCTTCTTGCATGTCTTTCATCCACTGGGATTTATCCTTATGAGTTTGTACTTCTTCAAAGCTTTCTGGCTTCCCTTCTTCAGTGATGGTAATATACGTGGAACTAGGGTATCTCGTAGATGGTTGAATCGCTCGACTTGATATCCTGAGCTGTGGTGGAGCTTCGAGGTCTTCCTGCTCGATACCTTCACCACCACCATCTTCTATTACTGGTTCGTCATCAACCCTGAGTTCTCTATCACACTCTCCCCCTGTTGTGGCATCTCCAGGAGGTTTGATAGGTGAAATATCCACCTTTCCACTTGGTTCTCTGACTTCTGGTAAAGCAGAATCAGACATAGTTTCTTGCTCATTGAACACTACATCTCTGCTTCTGATAATTTTTCGATTCTCTGGATCCCATAACCTGTAGCCAAATTCCTCATCTCCATAGCCCAGAAATATACAAGGAATGGCTTTATCGTCAAGTTTTCGTCTTTGTTCCTTGCTTACGTGAGAAAAAGCTTTGCATCCAAACACCTTTAAATGAGAGTATTTAACATCATGTCCGGACCATACTCTCTCAGGGATATCAAAGCCCAAAGGAACAGATGGAGATCGGTTGATCAGGTAGCACGCCGTTAGAACAGCTTCACCCCAGAATGGCTTATGTAGTTTAGCCATTCTTAACATACACCTCACTTTCTCCATAATGGTTCTGTTGATTCTTTCAGCCACACCATTATGTTGTGGGGTTCCAGGTACAGTCTTCTCATGCCTGATGCCATGCTCGGCACAATAATTCTTGAATTCATGGGAAGTATACTCCCCCCCATTGTCTGAGCGAAGACACTTCAAACGTTTACCAGCCTGTCTCTCCACCATAGCATGAAACCTTTTGAAGTATTGAAAAACTTCACCCTTCGTTCTCAAGAAATACACCCATAATTTTCGTGAAGCATCATCGATACATGTCACGAAATATATGCTACCACCGAGACTCTCCATTTCCATGGGTCCACATACATCAGAATATACCATCTCCAACACATTCTCTTTCAGCTTCGAGGTTTTGCTGAAAGACACTCTATGATGCTTCCCAAAGAGACAATAATCACAAGGATTTAGTTTTGAATATTTGGCAAATGGGATGAGGGACTTTCTTGCCAAAATTTGCAATCCTTTTTCACCAATATGAGCCAGTCTTTTGTGCCACAAATTTGGCGAAGCATCATCTTCGACTGCATTCAATCCACCCTTGATATGCTTCACCTGAGTTTTGTACAGTGTCGATCTCACTGTACCTCTAGCAGCTAACAACGATCCTTTGGTAAGCTTCCACGTGTCGTTACCAAAATTGTTAGTATAGCCTGCTAGATCCAATGCATGCACAGAGATCAGATTCAGACGTAAGTCTGGTATATGTCGTACGTCTTTCAGTGTTATTGTGCACCCAATATTAGTTTGAATGCACACATCACCAACTCCCACAATATTTGTAATGCTGTTGTTGCCCATCTTTACTCTACCAAAGTCTCCTTCTTTGTATAGAGAAAAGAATTCCTTGTGAGAGGTTTCATGGTATGATGCTGCTGAGTCAATGACCCATTCAACACATGAATCTGTAACATGACACTCTTCTTCTTCAACAGAGAGCAACACCACTTCCCCATTGATCACAGGGGTTGCGGTATTTTCACCGTTCTCTGATTTGTTGTTCCTCCAACCTCTGTTCTTCCAGGCTTTGCAGTTTCTTTTGATATGCCCTTCTTCACCGCAGTGATAACACTTGAATTTTTTCCTGGGTTGAGATTGTGATTTATCTCTGGCATTGCTATTCCGGCCTCTGCTTTTACTTCTCCCACTGGTTTCTGTGACCAGGGCTTGGGAACTGCTTTCCCCTGAGTCTTTTCTTCGTGTTTCTTCATTAAATATACTGTCTTTGACTTGGGTCAAAGTCAGTTTTCCCTCAGGAGCAGAGTTGCTCAACGAGACCACCAGAGTCTCCCAGCTATCCGGTAAAGAACTCAAAAGTAACAGCGCCTGTAGCTCTTCATCAAGTTTCATTTCCATGGTAACAAGTTGGTTTACCATGTCTTGAAACTCATTCAGGTGCTCAACAACTGATCTTCCATCCCAGTATTTTAGATGTACAAGCTTTCTAATGACGAAAGCTTTATTCTGTGCAGTCTTTCTCTGGTACATCTGTTCAATTTTGTTGCACAGAGTATGGGCTTTCAACTCTGTGGCAACATGGTGGAATATGCTGATATCCACCCACTGTCTGATTAAACTGATAGCCTTCCTGTGTAATTTCTTCCAATCGTCATCCTTCATGTCATCTGGCTTGTTGTCTCCCTTTTCTACAGGATTGTACAGATCTTTGTAGAAAGTATGTCCTCCATTTCTGGCTTCCAAATAGAGTAATTTGTTGCTGTGAGCTTCACCATGGTACCCACGTTCTCCTCCATTCAATTTACACTGGCTAATACAGAGCCCAACTTGATCTCTGATACCACTTGTTGGGCTCAGATGCGCGATGCGGAAGATGTAAATTAAAATATCAAGGTAAAATGGTGAACAATAATCCCAATCCCAACAACTCAAGACTGACAAAAGAAAAATCTCTTGCAATAAAACAGGAATAATTCTTTTCTGATGTGGAAGATCAAATTAAACTGCAACCACAGACCATACTAAGAATATCCCAAATAAATAAAATATGCAAGAAATAAGACACCAAGATTTAACGTGGAAAAACCTCCAAATAGAGGAAAAAACCACGGGACAACCTCCGAACAATTCCAATATATTTTCAGGATAATTACAATATTTTTTCACACTCCCTTACACTAGAAATGTAAAATATAGTGCCCCAGTGAGAACCCCACTCTTAAACAAAGAGTAATAGAGTTGATACCCAACCCGGTGTATTTTTCCCACACTCACAGGATTTACTGAAAACACTCTATTTTTATCTCACTGAAAAATAACACTCCAGAAATTATTTCTGCTCTCTTTTTCTTTCTTCTTCTCGGTGCATTTTCAGCTCTGCCCATTGCTCCCTATTTATAGGGAAATGAAGCTCCAAAAGACAATTCACATTGTCAGACATAACAACTCATTTTTAATAAAAAAATTCCTAATCAACTTTAGTTGTTAGAATCTTACAGCAATTTGTTTGTTTTTTTTCAAGGTTTGGCTGGACTTTCATGTGGCTAGTCCCCACTTATAAGCAGGCCAAAACAATGAAAAAAAAATGTCAATTCAGGGACCCTAAGAAAAATAAAACAACCATTTCCAAATCTAATACATCAAGCAAAACAAAAACAAACCTAAGTCATCATCCATACGAACCCTACCTTCTCGTAGGTACATTCTCTTTTGTGATAGAGGCGGGCTTAATACGAGTCGAGGTAGAGGCAGTGCGAGCACTTTTCTTTCCGACCGGGCGGCGTGAGCTGGACAAAGAGGCAGTGTGTTTACAATTTTTTTTACACAATGCACGCAATGCATAAAAATCGAGTTAATTAGATGCATAACAGTGAAAATATATCTTAGTTATTATATGTAACACCCCACTTTTATTTACCGAAAATCAGAATAAATTTTTTTTTTTTTTAATTTATTTCAAAAACAATATTTGAGGCGCTACTCATTTTCAAATCAATAATCAATACTCAAAATTTTCTCAATATTCGGCAGTTATCGATACTCATAATCAATAAGAAAA